GCACTGCACTTATATTCATAAGGTGTATGTACCACAGAGGAAAATTCATCAGAAAATTTACCATGAAAGTGTTATATGAAACCTAATAGGTATGTCCCAATACTCATAAATACGTTGGACACTATTGTCAGTGGGGTTAATATGATGTCTAAGTTGTCCACCACTATCAGTGGTTTACCTACTTCAGGCCGCTGGCGAGTATAGTATTTTGTTTATGTTCTAAAGATTACCATTTCATTTCCAACCTCCATTTTGGTTATTCTCCATTCAGTAAGATTTTCTAAGTTACAAAACTATCTATCTATCTATATCTATCTATTTAATTCTGTTAAATATCTATCTATCTATCTATCTAATTCTGTTCAATATCTATCTATCTATCTATCTATCTATCTATCTATCTATCTATCTATCTGTGTATCTATCTATCTATCTCATTCTGTTCAATATCTATCTATCTATCTATCTATCTATCTATCTATCTATCTATCTATCTATCTCATTCTGTTCAATATCCATCTATCTATCATCTATCTATCTCATTCTGTTTAATATCTATCTATCTATCTATCTATCTATCTATCTATCTATCTATCTATCTCATTCTGTTTAATATCTATCTCCTTCTGTTTAATATCTATCTATCTATCTATCTATCTATCTCATTCTGTTCAATATCTATCTATCTATCTATCTATCTATCTATCTATCTCATTCTGTTCAATATCTATCTATCTATCTATCTATCTCATTCTGTTCAATATCTATCTATCTATCTATCTATCTATCTATCTATCTATCTATCTATCTATCTCATTCTGTTTAATATCTATCTATCTATCTATCTCATTCTGTTTAATATCTATCTATCTCATTCTGTTTAATATCTATCTATCTATCTATCTATCTATCTATCTATCTATCTATCTCATTCTGTTTAATATCTATCTATCTCATTCTGTGTAATATCTATCTATCTATCTATCTATCTCATTCTGTTTAATATCTATCTATCTATCTATCTATCTATCTATCTATCTATCTCATTCTGTTTAATATCTATCTATCTCATTCTGTTTAATATCTATCTATCTATCTATCTATCTATCTATCTATCTATCTCATTCTATTTAATATCTATCTGTCTCATTCTGTTTAATATCTATCTATCTATCTATCTCATTCTGTTTAATATCTATCTATCTATCTATCTATCTATCTCATTCTGTTCAATATCTATCTATCTATCTATCTATCTATCTCATTCTGTTTAATATCTATCTATCTATCTATCTATCTATCTATCTATCTCATTCTGTTCAATATCTATCTATCTATCTATCTATCTATCTATCTCATTCTGTTCAATATCTATCTATCTATCTGTGTATCTATCTATCTATCTCATTCTGTTCAATATCTATCTATCTATCTATCTATCTATCTCATTCTGTTCAATATCTATCTATCTATCTATCTATCTATCTCATTCTGTTCAATATCTATCTATCTATCTATTTATCTCATTCTGTTCAATATCTATCTATCTATCTATCTATCTCATTCTGTTTAATATCTATCTATCTATCTATCTATCTATCTATCTATCTATCTATCTCATTCTGTTCAATATCTATCTATCTCATTCTGTTCAATATCTATCTATCTATCTATCTATCTATCTATCTATCTATCTATCTATCTATCTGTCTCATTCTGTTCAATATCTATCTATCTGTTATATACCGTACCTATGTATGTCCAAATCGAAGCATGTTGGCCACTACTGTAAGTGGGAGTAATATTCTGTCTGAGTAATCCGTCACTAGCAGTGGTTTACCTACTCCATGCTGCTGGCGAGTATCTTATTTTGTTGATGTCATAAACATTACCATTTCATTTCTAACCTCTGTTTTGGTTATTCCTCATTCATTAATCCTCTTTTGGTTACAACAGAAAGTATTTATAGAAAAGACATGGGGAAGCTGCAGTGACTAAACCGGAGATGACAGGTCAGGAGCATTGAAGTTACAGATTCTTCTCGGGATTATATCAAGGATCTTTAAATATATAGCAGAAGCTCAAAAGTAGCGATATTCGAAGCATGGACAAATTGGAGAATTATGAACGAAATAGTCAACTATCGATCCTAGCAAAAGAACTTGTGATTTATAATCATTTATCATTTTGTCGAACTCTATGGTACCTAGAACGCAGTACAAGAAACAAACTCTCATTTGAGAGTTTGGAAACAAACTCTCATTTGCTTCACAGTTGACTTGGCTAGATGTAACTTTAAGTTCATTGTCAACTGTTTCTTTTCTTGAAATTCTCACCTGTGAAACTCTCTTGGAGTATCGTGCTTTCGAGCCAAATTTGATCTTCAAAAAGTAAAATGCAATGTCACTCATTAACTCGTGGTGTATTAGTGTATTTATTTCCTTGCTTGGGGTGAAATGATTACAGAAATGTTGTAGTTTTACTACTGAAAGAGTTTATCAAGCTTTAGAAAAGAATAATGAAGCTCGGTTGTTGCTTTTGATATCACGATGGCATTTGATATGGTTTGGCATAATGGTCTTCTTCAGAAGTTGAACGGTCATGGCATTTCTTGATGAATGTTAGATCTGATTCAGTCTGTCTTAGTAAATCGCGAAACATCGGGAAATGAACGTTCTCTTGAACGGCCAGTCTTCTAGATCCTACCTTGACTGAATTAAGTTTCAGAAAAAAGAAAAAAACAGTGAGAGGTCATTTAAATTATGTACCTACAATTAATAATAATCACATGATCACAAAAGCGGATAACCCAGGATCACAAACACATATTCATACAACTGAATTTGTTAGCTCTATTACTACTATTGAGCACTTACCAATTATTATCTGTGGATGAAGGCATTAAATAATTCATAGAGGTTGATATGATGCTGAACAAAATCAAACAACGAATCGACTATAGCATTTTACACAGACCAGAATCAGAGGAAGTAATACTAAAAAAGCTAAAACAATCTTGCACATTGCAATGAATGAATATATATATATATATATATATATATATATATATATATATAATTATAGATAACCAGACTCGTTTCGAAAGACCCTAGAATTTTTGATTTGCTGATAATCAAATCAATCTCGAGGGAAAAAAAGGTTCTAAAAAAAGTAAGATCTACAAACATGAACTTCTGTCGAAAAAAAATCGCACATATACAGGTCTGAAGCCCAAAGAAAAAAAACCGATACGAGTAACAACTAACTAACAAAAGAGCTCAATACAACCGTAGAGCAGACCTAGATACACCTAGTGAGCCAGACAAACCTACCTGGGTTTCACCTAAACGGATCGTCAGGGAAAGGCCTTACTTTCCCTGACGATCCGTTTAGGTGAATCGTAGGTAGGTTTGTCTGGTTCACTAGGTGTATATATATATATATATATATATATATATATATGTTTGTACTCTGCTCTTTCTATTAACCGAATATCTTTTTTCCTATTGGTCATTTCGTTTTGCGAACGAATCAACCAAAGGGTGTGTCTTATTTGGCGCACCCACATTGGTGATTTCTTTTTTAACTTGGTCGAAAATTATCTTGATGCTACCGTCCTCTTTTATCTTCCTTTCAGTATTGATTTCGTTCCAAGCCAAAACAATCCCAAGAGACCCTCACTATACCCGACGTCTTTAGCGAGACGAAACCATTCGAAAAGCCGAAATTTTTGGTTCAAAATGAAAGCTAGATTATTATATATATTGTTTTTTTGTTTTTTTTTTTCATTTTCAAACTATCCAGAGTGGGTGTATTTATTTTTCTGTGATTTTTACACATAGTACACTCAATACAATGCCCCAGATAATTTTTTTTTTCGAGGCAGGAAGATGAGGCCTGCTTTGATCTTTTGGAGGTAGTATTAAACTTCTGGACAGTGTAGGATTTGCCCGATTTTGGATCTTTTCTTTTAGTTTGTAACTTTTTGTTGTTTTTTTTTTTTTCGTATGGAAATGGTTTGATACAAAGATTTTGAAACGGGAGAAAACGAGGTAACAAACCAAACAGACGTGTTTACTGGAGAGATCACCTGAATGCCGTTGCAGGATCAGACCGGATTTGCTTATACGTTTGACTTACAAGACCTTTTTTTTCATTTATTTACGAAACGAATCCTATAATTTTCTATTCATCAGGCTTTACAGAGTCTATATCCGATATCATAGCCAGCCGAATTTCCCATCATCATATAGCAACGGATTTGAAACGATTTTAAAACAAGATAATTTTGAGAGAAATGTTTTTCCAAAGTAAGTGATCTGTTGCATCATAGCAGAAAAAAAAACAACAAAAAAACAACAACTTGAGAGAGAGAGAAAAAGAGGGAAATATTTTACGTAAAGAAATTAAATAAAAGATTACAGGTAGGCCTTCTCCAAAAAGGAATTGATTATGTTGCCACAGTTGGCGTATCATTTCCTCCATAAGGCTTCGTTCGAGATAACGAACTTGTTATGAACAAAACATATGTAGGCAAACACGCACGCACGCACACGCACAAAGAAACTGACACTGACAAAAACATACAGATGAAAAGAAATGCAAGGAAGCACACACTTAAGGATATTTATCGCAATGTGTTCTGTTCGCTTATAAAAAAATTAATCCAATTTCACAAAGGCTTCAACATATAAACCTGATAAAATTTATCACCATGTTAGCTATCTAAGAGCAGTATACATTTGGAGTAAGCAATATATATATATATATATATATATATATATATATATATATATATATATATATATATATATGTGTGTGTGTGTGTGTGTGTGTGTGTGTGTGTGAGAGAGAGAGAGAGAGAGAGAGAGAGAAAGATAGACAGATAGTGGCAGAGAGAGACAGAGTGAGAAAAGAAACAACGTTATATAGTTAGATATATACAAACGAAAAATTACAAAACACACAATCAGTATGTCTTAATATATTGAAAAACAACTATGTCAATACATTCATATCTATCTATCTATCTATCTATCTATCTATCTATCAAAGTCCGTATCTATCTATCTATCTATCTATCTATCTATCTATCTATCAAAGTCCGCATCTATCTATCTATCTATCTAAGTCCGTATCTATCTATTTATCTCAGTCCGTTTCTTTCTTTCTATCTATCTAAGTCCGTATCTATCTATCTATCTATCTATCTCTGTCCGTTTCTTTCTTTCTTTCTTTCTTTCTTTCTTACTTTCCTTCTTTCTTTCTTTCCATCTATCTATCTAGCTATGTATCTATCACAGCCTGTTAATTATCTATCTATCTCAGTCCGTATCTATCTATCTATCTATCTATCTATCTATCTATCTATCTAAGTCCCTTTCTTTCTTTCTATCTATCTAAGTCCCTTTCTTTCTTTCTATCTATCTGAGTCCGTATCTATCTATTTATCTCAGTCCGTTTCTTACTTTCTTTCTTTCTTTCCATTTATCTATCTAGCTATGTATCTATCACAGCCTGTTAATTATCTATCTATCTATCTATCTATCTATCTATCTATCTATCTATCTATCTAAGTCTGTTCATAACTATCTCATTTTATTCGTATATATATATATATATATATATATATATTAAACAATAACAAATATTAAAAATTAAAATCTTAAGACACACTGGGCTGGATATTAATATTCCTTTATTTAAATTCCTCGACTAGTTTCGTCCAACATGGCCATCATCAGGAGAAAAATAATTTTCTGCTTGCTAGTAACAGTGAACTACAGAAATATATATATATATATATATATATATATATATATATATATATATATATATATATATATATATATATGTGAAAATTGTATATAAATATAAACAAATATATATATGTATAATTATTTATATATTATATGCGTGGTACTTATTAGAAAGCGCTCAATATCAGAGATAGAGCTAACATAACTCTTAACTCAGCAACTCTTAACCAACAAAATTACACAACTATACAAAAAAACAAACATGAACACAATAAACGTCATAAACCAAGAAGCCAAAAACATAGCCACCAAATTGAATATAGATGAAAGAGTAAACAAACTAGCTGAACATCAGGCTTTCATCACAGCAAAGGACCACAAAGCCAGCTTCATCGAAAAACCCACATTCAGACTAATCAACCCGGCGAAGAGCGAGATAGGAAAAATTAGTAAGAAGATCCTAGAAAATATCAACACCACCCTAGGAGAAAAATTAGGTCTCAACCAGTGGAAGAACACCAAAGCCGTCATAGAGTGGTTTAAAACGATAGACAACAAGAATAAATCCACTTTCATCCAATTTGACATTGTGGATTTTTATCCTTCCATTACAGACAGCATATTAAATGAAGCCATACAACTGGCACAGCTAAATGTAAAACTCACGGACGGTGATATAAAAATAATCAAGCATTGCCGCAAATCACTGCTGTTCCACAACAATGAACCATGGGCAAAGAAACAAAACCACAACCTGTTTGACGTAACAATGGACAGCTACGATGGAGCTGAAATATGCTAATTAGTAGGCATACTCATCCTATCATACCTGGCCAGAATCCTGGAGAGAAAGGAAACAGGATTATACAGAGATGACGGTCTTATCTTAATAAGGGAATCCAATGGCCCCAAAGTAGACAAATTCAGGAAGAAAATAGTGAACCCCCTAAAAAAACATTGGATTCAAAATAGAGATAAATACAGGCACAACACTAGTAAACTTCCTTGGCGTCACTCTTAACCTGATCAACAACACGTATGAACCATACAATAAAGAAAATGACACCCCAACTTACGTACACACATCCTCCAACCACCCACCTTCTATCATCAAACAAATACCAAAATCAATCAGCCGCAGACTATCTGAGAACTCATCCAACATACACATTTTCAATAGTAAAAAGGCACCATACAACGAAGCACTAAAAGCAAGTGGTTACACACAACAACTACAATGTATACCTCCACAGCCAAAACGCAGAAACAGAAAGAGAAGCATTATCTGGTTTAATCCACCATATAACAAAACTGTTAAAACGAACATAGGCAAAATATTCCTAAACTTAATAGAAAAACACTTCACTGAAGAAAACAAATTATCAAAAATATTCAACAAAAATAACGTAAAGATCAGCTACAGCTGTACAAAAAACATAACAGAAATAATTAAAAGCCACAACAAAAAAAATGACAACCTACAAAAATGTAACCAAGGATCCAATATGCAACTGCAGAAACAGAACAACATGTCCACTCCAAGGAAATTGCCAACTTACGAACACTATATACATGGCCAAGATAAGTACAAACAACAACACTATGCACTACATCGGTGCCACCGAAGGCCCATTCAAAATGAGGAATAACAATCACAACCTTTCATTCAACAACAGAAAATATTCGAACAGCACAACACTTTCTACATACATATGGCAGCAAAAAGACAAAAACATCACACCAACAATAAGTTGGGAAATATTGAAAAAAGCCCCTGCCTACAACAACATTACGAAAAAATGCCTACTTTGCCTACACGAAAAAGTAGCAATAATATCGCACAAACCGCAAAAGAACTTACTAAACAAAAAATCAGAGATAATCTCCAAATGTAGGCATGAGAACAAGTACCTATTATCCGAATTCATACCAAACGGATAAAACAAACAAACCACCAACAATCACAATTTAATTTCTGTCTCCAATCCCTTGAAACATTACTACCACATCATACCATATAAAACCACTATTAAATTGAAGTACCCTCTCACCCAGCACATTGAATATTAAACTAAACGTCACCATATAAATTAACCAATAAGGATTACAAATTTCTACCTGTTACATATACACAGTCACCAAAAACAAACAAACAACCAGCTTTAAATATAACAAATAAAGTCCTAAAAGAACTTACTAAACAAAAAATCAGAGATAATCTCCAAATGTAGGCATGAGAACAAGTACCTATTATCCGAATTCATACCAAACGGATAAAACAAACAAACCACCAACAATCACAATTTAATTTTTGTCTCCAATCCCTTGAAACATTACTATCACATCATACCATATAAACCCATTATTAAACTAAATTGAACTACCCTCTCACCCAGCACATTGAATATTAAACTAAACATCACCATATAAATTAACCAACAAGGATTACAAATTTCTACCTGTTACATATACACAGTCAACAAAAACAAACAAATAACCAGCTTTAAATATAACAAATAAAGCCCTATTTTTCTTTTTAAAAAAAAAAAAAAAAAATTAAAATTAAAAAAATAAATATAAATAATAATAATCTTTACCTATCATAATTTTACACAAACCCCACCACACGCATATACATACATGCGAGGAAATATTTTCCAGCTGGAAAATAGATATGACATGTACACATCAACGAGACATTTCCGTCACACTTCCAATGTTTAGATTTCAACATTTCAACATACAAATGCGTATGTATAGATATAACACCACCCGTATACATACATATGTCATAGCCGAAACTGCCCACATATGTTTATATATGTATGAGTCCCGACGGACGACCAAGTATGTATATGTGTCTGCATACATCGATGTTTGCGTTAGTACGATGAATGACAAAACGACGAAATTTCCCCCACCACTTCCACAATAACACCAATACACGCAATCTACATAAACGCAAATTTTTAAAACATTAATCAGTTTGTCTGACGATCACTAAAGTCACAAACTCACATCTATCCAACCAAATATATATATATATATATATATATATATATATATATATATATATATATATATATATATAGCTGTCCACTCGTATTCGAAGATACCCGTCTACTATTGTGGCTACACATTCCCTCTTGCAGACACTTGCTGCTCAGACAAATTTGTGTTTATTGAACACCCAGATATCCTACCTGTGGTTTATACTGCAACTATGCTAGCAGACCTTAGTAACAGTTTCTGTGAGAGAAGCATATTACAATCTGAACAAGGACAGCACAGGGCCTCGGTCACGATGAATTGTGGCTTCCTGCTAGCGCAGCCATCGACGGCCCGAAGGCTTCGATCTACTCAATTTGTTCATATCTACCTGGAGGGCTAACTAGGCAGTGTATCTAGCAAGAGACAATGTAAACAAAAAAGGATATTTATATTTAACGTCAGGAAGAGACAGTTGAAATTTCTAGGGAAAATAATGATGAATAGAATCTTTTATAGTCACTGGAGACGGAAAAATGCATGGATATGGCGAGCATAAGTGAATCGGTAGCGGGAAAGATATCAAAAGACAACATTAATTAAGACTTACAAAAAGACAGGGAAGAGTGGAGAGTCGTGATCACCTATTTTATGAAGATAAAGAACAAATAATCTGAATTTTAATTATGCGCGATATGTAAATTTATTGTGATCAGAATTCTCGAATCAATCTAATTCTTAAAGTTTTTTTTTAAGCGTTTCACCCCAAGCAAGGCGGGAAGCCACTAGCACACAAAGGGTTACAGAGAGTTGGAGCGAGAACAAAGAGGAGTGATAGAGGAAAGGATGAAGAGAAGTTTAGGGGATAGATCAAGGCATCTGGAGTCGTCGATTGACATTACATTTGAATAGTTGTGGATTATAACTATCAGGGAAACGTGAAAAGGTGAGGGAGTTCCACAGGCGTGAAGTGCAAGACATGAATCTATTGGAGCAGAAGAGACGGCTATATTTAACAGTTTTGATAGTGAAAAGGTGAGAGCGAGACGCCAGCCTAGTTGAACACCTTCATCAAGTCTGAGAACCAACGAAAGCAGCTCATCGGAGCATTTACATTGAAAGTATTTGTAAAAAACAAAGAGGGAGGCGACTGCACGTCTGTGAGAGATCAGATCAGGACTAATTACATTGCATATCCGTCTCTGGATTTTATCAAGGACCTTCAAACAAACAGAAGGGGCACCGGAGCATATATGGCAGCAATATTCCATGCAAGGGCGAATGGTTGATTTGTAGATTTGAAGGATCGACTACGGCGAGAAAAAATTTCTGGCGTGGGACAGGGAGCCAACTTTCTTTAAGGCCGATGAATTTAGTGACACAATGTATTTGTTCCATCTCAGGTCAGCAGTCAATGTGCAGTCGCAAAGAGGTGCTCTCGTGGAGCTGAATGTCAGACATTCTAATGGCGGGCAACCATTTTTCTTCATCGAGCGAAGAACTTTCCAATAAATCTATGTATATACTGATGTATATTGCAACCGGTGTAAAGACTTTTGAAAGCTATCACGAAAACAAAACATATTTATACACATACAGACGTCGTCAATTAATAACGACGTCATCCATTATTTGTAGCTTTCACCGGAAGTGTTTGTATTGTTATCGCGATATGAGAAACTGTCATTTCCCTCACGAGTTACGATTATATATATGTTTCTATCGTGCAGTTGTGTCGGGCTTGACCATTTTAAGGACAGCTGGGTCGATCACCTGGAGCAGCAATTAACATGCTATTAGGCACGAACTTGAATTATGTGTCTATGTAACAAATAGTCCCAACCCCTGTATGGATCGCCGAAGGAAACAAGTTCTCGATGATGAGAAAACTGGAAAAGTAGAAAGCACGTTTCGACGTCAAACAAATCAAAAAATACTAACGAAAAATAAGTACACACCGCGGCCTCTGAAGAAGGAAACATTTAGTTTCACGTCAAAATGCAAATTCAAACTATGCAATGTAATCCCGGTCCATGGAGATCACAATCTTCATTCTTTCTTTCGTTTTTTTTTCTACACTTTCTTTCTTTCTTTCGTTTTTTTTTCTACACTTTCTTTCTTTCTTTCTTTCGTTTTTTTTTCTACACTTTCTTTCTTTCTTTCTTTCGTTTTTTTTTCTACACTTTCTTTCTTTCTTTCGTTTTTTTTTCTACACTTTCTTTCTTTCTTTCGTTTTTTTTTTCTACACTTCTTTCTTTCGTTTTTTTTTTCTACACTTCTTTCTTTCGTTTTTTTTTTTACACTTCTTTCTTTCGTTTTTTTTTCTACACTTCTTTCTTTCGTTTTTTTTTCTACACTTCTTTCGTTTTTTTTTTCTACACTTCTTTCTTTCGTTTTTTTTTCTACACTTTTTTT